AAGAATCTGGCAGCTGCCTTCAGTCTCCCACCCATGTCATGTGGAGGGGTAGCAGAACAGGTTGTTCCTAGAGCTTAACAGGTGGCTTCTCCAGGACCAGAAGAGCAAGATTTTCCAAAGTCTTTCACTATCATTAATGCATGAGCTTCTGACATGAGTGAGCAGGCAAGCAAGGGGAGTTTGAAGAAGTGCAGCAAGTCCATCAATAACTGTCTGGTGTTGATTAGGGAAATGTGACCACCACAAGCCAGGGAAGTCCACGCTGCCTGAAGCATCAATTTTTCCCCCAGCAAAAACCCTAGGAGCAGTTATTCATAGGAATTAGTCTGCTCCAGTTGCCAGGGGTGCAAAGAGCTGCAGGCCAGCACCCTCAGTAACGGCCTGCGTCCATGCAGAGGTTTCTGAGCTCCAGCTCCAGCTGTTTAATTTGGACATCCCTCTGGTTTACCACCTCACGTAGTCTACGGATTTCTTCCTGTTGCCGGTAAAACATCTGCAAGAGCTGTAAGAAAAGTCACATTTTACTTCCTTTACACTAAGAAAACACAGCCTAACCTGTCAAATGCCACCAGTCCTGTCACATCACTTCTGAGAGAAACAGCATATAAGGAGGAGGCCTTCAACCAACAGACTGAACATCAGCAGTGCTCCAGCTGTCCACTAGCCTGGGCTGTGAGTGCAGGTCTTTGTGACTACCACTTAATAATGCTACATCTGCTTCATTCAGTGGCAAAGATCAGAAAAAATAACCTTCATAGCACTGATCACTCAAAGAGAGCCTAGACACAGAGCGTATTTGGAGTCTAAATTCCTGGATCTACCACATCTCCTACTCTGACCTTGGGCGAGTCCTTTTACTTCTCTTCTTTTTTCCAGTTGATCATGCTCTGTCCTCTCAAGTTGGGACTAGCCTGGCCGTTCATTGTGCATACAGCAAAGCGTTCAGCTCTGCACAGGTTGCTTCTGTAACCTCAGGGTGCCAGCTCAGAAACATGCAGAAGAATATCCCTTTTCATACTACAGCTGTGGAAATTCCTGCCACATCAAGCTGCAGACACTAAAATCTTTCAGAGCCAAAAAGGAGACCTGAGCACGGCTATGGGAAGGAAATCCTTCCAGGGTTCCTAAAACAAACAAGCTGCACATACTCAAAAATGTCCTTGAGCTGCCAATGACAAGGGACTTGCAAAACACTACAGAGATCTACCACTGTACAAGCTCTGGTTACTGTACAGGGAGGCGGTTGGCCATGGCTGAAGACAGATCATGGAGCTGCCAGGACCTTTTCTGGAGCCATTCCTGGGAGCAGGCTGTGACCAGCAGCCAGCCTCAATGGCACTGCACTGCCAACTTGTCCCCCAGCAGTGAGCAGCTGAGGCAGGGGCAGAGCCAGTCCCTTTCCCATGCCAGGGTCCACAACACGGTTGGACACTTAAGACTACATGGATGCGCCATGGCCCATGGGGTACACCCACTCCTTCCACAGGTGTCCCTGCTGCCTCACTAGGCTCTCTGAGCACAGCTTTCATGGAAGGGTTACACTGCATAAACTCCCTTCTCTTCTCCAGAAACTGGAGGTCACAAGGACCTCCTTGTCCCCAGCCAGCCACCAGGGTGCCACAAGAATGCCTAAGAAGTGGGAATACTGACTGTTCCCTCCTTTCCAGATCCCCTCAGATGGGATTCTGCTGGGACACATTTCTGCTTCGCATGTGGCAGCCAGGGCATGCAGAGCTTCTGCCCCCACAAAGAACGAAGAGCTTGCACTGGCCCAGGTCTGCAAAATAAATCCTCCTCTGATTCTGTCACCTTGTGAACTGCATCCTTTTGCCAGCTGACTCTGGGCTTCCCCACACAACCCCAACCCTTCACCCCAGACATTCACACCTCATTTTCAGTTTTCGGTGGTGGACACTCAAATATGTCAAAGCCATTGGAGAGGCGCATTTGCTCATTTTTTGGCAATTTCTCCTCCACTTTCAGCTGTTTTCTGCTGTCTTCGATGTCACTTGGCTTCTGCATGTCCTCCAGCAGCATCCTTCCTCCTCGACCCTGCTGCTGGCTTAGGTCAGTAGTTTTCATGAGTGGCTCTGGCTCAAGAAACTGTGGTGAGGCATTCACAGCTCCAGAGCCTGGTCTCAAAGATACCAAGAGAGGCCCTAAGGAGGGAGGCAGGTGACAGGTTAGCACACTCAAACCACACTCAGAAATAGCTGTAAGCAATTCCTTCAAACAACCTGCAGGGATAAACATGGAGGTACTTGACTGGAGCGGCTTCCAGAGTTCACAGCAGTGAATATTTTAGCCACCAAGTTATTTTAGCTTACAGTCATATTTGTTATGTCTCTCCTTTTCCTCCCTTCCTCTTTCTCTGGCACTTAACAGGCCAGAGAGCCAGGCAGCTTACCCAAGCCCTGGGGAGCTGAAGGGCTGGGGAGCTCTCCACGTGCTGACCTTTGTTAACTCCGTTCAGCCACTCCTGTGCTGTCAGTGCTGGCTGGGCTCCTGTGGTCAAGGGGTAGATGTCTTCCTGGTATGACTCCGACTGCAAGCAAACAAAAGTCCAGAGTCACTATGTCAGTGAGGTTTTGGCTTGGAGTGACCATACTTGATTGTGGCAGTGAAAGAAGTTTGTTCCCTTCAGCACAGGGAGTGTCATGAGCGCTCACCGGCATGGTCATAAAACCTTCTCACCGGCTCTGAGCCTCTTTCCTCCTCACCCAACTCAGAAGTGCATCTAAAGAGTGATTTTAATTCCTGCCAGTGAGGCCTTTACACATCCTGACAACAGACTGGGGGAGGCTGGTGACACAAGCTAACCCAACTCTCATGAACTCAGTGTTCCTGAGGATGAAGAAGTGGATGTGAAGGATGGATACAAGTCACAAATCATCAGCTGATCATCAGCTGACAGAAATTGGCCGAGGCAATAATGTTGGAGGAGCATGCCTGACTGGTATTTGAAATGAGCATTAGCTCTGCTGTCTCTCTGAATTCAAGGCACTCATAACTTCCAATTTTTCTGGAAGTACAGGGTACAGTGCTGACATTCACGATGTACCTTTGCTCACACAGTCACATGGGAGCTACCTTGGCTAGCTACAGATTCATGATCTGGGTCATTCTCTAGCCACACCAGCTCTGAGCCTTACTTCTACATCACTCTCAGTGCAATGGGTCATGTCTTACATGCTGCAAAACAACTGCCTGTAATACACCTGCACCCACTGGGTATAGACCTGGGAACTCACCATTCCCTTTTTCCCAGGGAGGTGCTTCTTCCTTTCACAAGGAGATTTTCATGTCATCCAACCTCTCTCTCTATCATTATGTCAAACAGGTGCCACCAATGGATGGTTTACAGCCAGCAAGTTGACCTGACAGTCAGAGAGAGCCCTTGCTGCACCCAAGCAGAGCAGATCGGTAAGCATGTCTTAGAAAGTTGGCCATTACACAGAGACCTAACTCTTGAGTTACCCAGCCAGAGTTTGTTGGCAGGGCTGCCCCACAAACGGACCAGCTTTGTCCCTCAGACCAGGAGAGAGAAAATCTCTTGTTCTACCTACTCTCCTGCCCCCAGAGTCACAGAGAGGAGGCACTGCCCTCTTTTTCACTGATATTTGTCCCAGACATGAACACGACCTGAGATTAACTTACCCGTCGAGGCACAATCATGGAGATGGGCTCAATCAGGCTTTTAGTTGGGATCAGTTTGTAGAAACGGAAAATCTCACAAGCTGACACTTCAAGTCCTCTCTTTGGCATCATTCCTGGTGGGATAGCATGAAAGAAACAGTGTATAAATCTCACTAGGAAAGTTAGTGTCATCTACCATGGAAAAGGGTCACTAAACAACAAAAGAAGTCACAACATCAGGTCCACAGCAGCATGGTCTGAAATTTGCACCCAAAACTGGTTCAGTGGCACAAATGACAAGACTGAATAATTTTTTTTTTGTCAGGTCACAGAGTTACATACAGGGTCTGTGGTTCTCCTGCTAAGCCTCCTGTTCCTTATTCATTCTCATGAGGTGCAAATAGAGTTACCAGGACTGAGCAGAACTGGCAGGTTATGCCACAGGATTTGACTGTCAGGATCAGAAGGAAGG